CTCCTGGTACGTGCTGCTAGCTGGCGTGCTCGTAGGTGCATTTCTGGAAGGCCACTTCACAGCTCATATCAACAGCCTCAAAATGTGCAAAATCCTGAATTCAGTTCTGTTTTGACCATTGTATGCTAAGGACAATGTTAAGGATGTGCATATAAACTTCAGCTTCAGGAACATTCACCGTAGCAAAATAAACATAAACAAATAAATATATATGTAAAGAAATGGGGCAGGGCTATAAACTCCACATCCACCCAAAGGGAGCTGTACAGTATTACGGATTCATTAAAATGACATGTTAAAATTTAAGTGGAAAATGTTTACAATGTATTCATTAGAATGGAAAAGCAGGCCACCCGCCAATACGTAATCTAAGCGACACAAAGGATGGACTCAGTCTGTTAACTGTGATCACCTCCGGGTAACGGGAGATTATGGGAATTCTTCACATTTTATTGTTCTACTTTTTGGGGTTTTCTAAAATGAACATGTACTACTTGTTAACAAGAGAAAATATATACCATAAGGTGAGGTTTAGGCTTGAAAACTGAGGATGAGCCCTCACACAACCCCCAGGATGCCGGTGTATTCGAAGCCCCGCCCCTGCAGAAAAGCGCCGACCTCCCATCCCAGCGGCTCAGCTCAGAGGAGCAGGGATTCCGTCAGGAGCTGGACCAAATTCTGTCTACTGTCCCGCATCCTGTTGGTGGGGCAGGTTACACAAATCCACACATGGTTAGACCTCACAGAACTACACATCACCCCCTTAAAAAGCTAAAAGGAAGTCCACATAGAAATATGAAAATAGATACTTACGAGTGGAAAAATAAATATTTTTGAGTGAAAAGTTCTAGGTGTTAAAAAAGCATGGGGGGAACATCTTTCCTGAATAGTCCAGTCTGACTAGTTGGAGAGTGACCGTTACCCCTGTCATCTCATCGGCCCCAGACCCCGCTTGAAAAGACCCATCTGCCGTTCTCCGTAAAGGGGAGACAACTTCCCGACCACCGAGGGCTGGGAAAGCATGGTCCAGACGAGGACTGGGGTCTTTGTCCTCACTGGGAGCTCAGGTTCCCCTCGCACATGAGCAGACCCCTGGGGAAGAGCAAGCATCTCCCCCAGGAAGCTCCCTTTGGTTTCTGTGGCCTGGCACATGCTGGATCACCGTGGAGAACTGCGTGAGATTTATCTCATAACGACCAAGATTTAAGATTCAAGTTCCTACAGCCACGGAGCTAAGGCAGGATATACGTTACACCCCAGATGGGGGTCCAGGTAGCTCTGCTCAGAAATCCCACTACAGTCAGTAGAGGGTCTCGGTGAATTCTCAGTGTAAGAGAAAGATTTTTCTCTTCTTGCTTGTTAGTCAGAAAGACTTTAAACCGAATGAACCAACAAGAACTCTAAAGATAAAACATTTAACGGTGTTAATTTTCAAAGCCCTGTGTTCCTCTCCAGCTTCTCAAGGTCATGCCCCGTCACCGAATGATTACAGAGGGCTGCTGACAGGGAACACGGGGGATGAAACCCCCGTGAGGTCGAACCTCTAATAGAAAGAGCAAACAGCTCAGATCCCAGCCGGCGCGACAGAGCACGGGCGATGCAGAACAGACAGCAGCCCCGAGCATCTGTGAGTCGGCCTGTTCCTCTGCCTCCTCAGAGAGAACAAATCACAAGACTGCTCAGAATAAAAAAAAAAAAAAAATACCAAAAGGGCAGAAGCCCAAAAAGCAGCCAGGCCTGAATCTCATGCAGTTTTCAAAGAATGTGCTTGCACACTGTCTCGGTTATTTGCAGAGTGGACAGAGAGGCGGACAGCTTGCGGAGGTTACTTTAGGGGATTTGCTGCAAAGTCTGGTGGGAATAGGGTCAGGCCCTGAGCTCCCATTAAGCAGCTTCAGCTCCCAGGCTGACCCTCCATCTATACAGGGTTAAAAGCCTGTCAGCCAGCCCTGCAGGCGCAGTCTTTGTATTTAAATCATCCCCGGGGACCCCACACCGCAAGGCAGAGCCAGAACCTGGGGAAGGAGAGAAAAGGGTGAGGGAGAGGACCCCCCTCCACCCATAATTGTTGGCTGCACTTCTGGAGAGCCAGATCCAGGAAGCTCAGTACACTGGAAAACAAACAAGGAAAAAAAGGAAGGTCTTGGAAGGCTGGGGCAGCCTGGAGAGCAGTTAGGAGCCTCCACCTTAACCGCAGAGATGCTTACCTCTTCCTTCCCCTCCTCCTCGAAGCTGGGCACCAAATGTCCCCCACCCCTTTCTGAATGCAGATCAAAGGCACAATGGTTACCCACTGCTACACCCTCCTCACGCCCAGGGACTCTCTGAAAAAGGTTCTGGGTCATCAGAGAGGTGCCAAACAGCAGTTACAACCTCTTTCTGATAGAAGAAACCCTACTCAGCCCACACCGATGCACGCAATGCAGTTACACATAAGATATGGTGACACATACATGTACACATGTATGTGCAACAGAAGGCAGGCAGGAAGCCTGTTCCATAGACCAGAATCCTTTGCTTTCCTCATTCTATCAGCAACATCCATTTCTGTTACAAATTTTCTATTAGGAAGGTTGATTACAGATCAAAATGCCACGCTCTTCTTGCTCCCCACCCCACTCTAGCAGCCCAGAAAGATGTGTTAATAAACTGGGGGACAAAGATGGAAGAGACAGGCTGCCTTCCTCGAAAGGGGGCGCACGCTCTTTCAGAGCGTCTTAGACACTGCACTTTAATAAACCTAACAAGCTGAACCTCTTTGCTCTCCGAGCAGCCAGGGAGCAGCTCACAGCCTCTTAATAAAGACATCCGTCTCTCTCCACACCACTAGGCACGAGGACTGTCTCTGAGCAGCCACATGTTTCTGTATCTATTTTCAGCCCCCATAAATCATACCGCATTGTTTCGGAGCATCTGAATTCATGCTTAATAAGCCACCAACCTCATCCTTCCACCTCCACCCCAAATTTTCCCTAGGGACCAGGGTGTTAGTACACGGAGGAAAAGAAATTCTTCATTAGAGCTGGATTTTAAAAGTAAACTCCCACACGTGACGGGAAAACAAAATTGGGTCTAACTACCATCATCAGATAACCACTAATGTCTTCGGTTAAAGTGCCTGACTGTGATTCTCAGGTTTGGGCACGGGTGCTGTGGACACCTGAAGGAAGCAGAATTTGAACCTAATGCCAAATGACACCTAATACTGCTCTTTGTGACCATTTAAGTGCTGCAGTGGCTGGATTAAATTGCTCCGCTGCAGAATTCCTCCCACTTATAGGTTACTAAGAAATACAATATTGCTTAAAATGTACTCCAGTGTGCTCATCCTCTCACGCCAGCGCGCTCATCAATCTCCTTCCTAACTGGGCCTACCCTAACCCAGTTCCACTCCTTCCCCCTGAGATACAGGGAGACCTGCTGTGTTCTCTCCCAGGAGGACACGCATCGCAAGGGTTCCAAGATCAAAAGCTGGATCACAGATACTCCTAGCATCGAGTCTGCCAAGCCAGGGTTCTGAGTAGGTACAATTCTTAAAGAGCCAATACAGAAAATAGCTACCCAGGACTGGAAGACCTAATGACATTATAAGAAATGTAGGGGGTGTAAAAGCAGTATGCAGAGTGATTTGACTTTGAAAATTCCAAAACTCAGCTAAAGCCCAAATGAGAACATGCTTTTAAATTTAGCTATCCTAAGCACTGCCCAGCTAAGATGGACTTTATAAGCTCAGATGCAGCTGAGCACATCTACACTGCAGGCTGCCTGCCCGAGGTTTGCAGACCACTCCCTGCCGAGAGAGTCCAGCCAACCCAACCGGCCTACCAGCGGGCTGCAGCCTCATGCCCATATCCAAGTCCAGCACTAGCCAAGGGTCCCTTGGGCCTGCCTCCTGCTTGCTGGATTCCCGTCTGATTGAACAATAGTCAGGGAGAGCCACAGAAGAGCCACATCACGGTCAGCCTCATCATGCTCCGTGTGGCCACTCCCTGGCCCTTGACAACACTGGTTGCACACACTTCCACCCATGACAATGGTGTGCAGAGTCAGGGCCCACCACAGCACATCACAGAGCTAGGAAAGGAAGCATCAGAGGCCAGCTGGAAAGGGCTGGTCTCCACCTCTCAGAGAGGACAGAGGCTGCCAAGCCTCTGCTGGGTAAGCAATGACATTTAAAAGCTCAACTCCTGCAAAAGCAGGCAGTAAAAAGACCCTCAAGAAGTCACCTATCTGCCAGCACCCCTGCGACCTTCTCCGGGTATCAGGAGCCCATCTGTGGCCAAGGTGGTGGGCAGAACATGGGTGACAGTGCCTTTCGACACCTTAACTGCTAAACTGGTCCTTTCACTCTCTCCTGCTCTTAGCAAGAGATCCTAAATGGCATGGACAGCCAAAGTTTCTCAGATTAACTGGAGAAAACTAAAACCTGGTGAAGACGCGATGGGTGGATGCTCGTGCAGATGCTGCTGGGCCTCGCTCCAACAGCGACCTGCCCCACCCCTGGCACCGGGGCAGGCCTTGCCCGGAGCAGTCACTACAAAATGACTGCCCCCACCCCAAGCCATGTCACATACTCAGAATCCCCTCAACTAGGCAAGCCCACCTCTACTAACTCACCCCTGAGGTGCGAGCCCACAGGTGTGACTCGCCCCTGCTGTAGGACACGCGGACGCTCTAGCAAGTGCGGGAAGCTCACCACCCACGCGTCCTGGCCAGTGCAAAACCTTGGCCCCGGCGGCCTCTGCTTCATCCCCTCCACCCACGAGCAAGTCGCGGCCCCCTCGCCGCCCCTCCACCCCCCGCCCCCCCGCACGCAGCCAGATTGATTCTCGCACTTTAAATCCGGCTCCCGCAGCCTCATTTGTTTTCTGAAACGCTCAGCAGCCTCCGACCAAGGCGGCCCAAGGAGCGTCTGGAATTCTCCCGCCCCAGCAGTCACGCCTTCCTCGGCCCGCCGGCCGGGGTAACGGCCGCCACCCGCCCCGCCGGCCGCGCCTTACCGCCGGTGTCCTCGAAGCGCGGGGGCGGGCGGTCCCGCAGCGCCGCGCTCCAGCCCGCGCCCGTCTCGTCCTCCTCCAGCTCCGGCGCGGCGGGGACACAGGGCGGCGGCGGGGCGCCGGGGGCCCGCGGGGGCCCGGGGCGCTCGTGCTCGTCGTCCGAGGAGGCGGCCGAGGAGGAGCGCGAGGCGGCCGAGGTGCTGTAGAAGGGGTTCCCGCCGCTGTCTGGGCCCGACTCGCCGAACACGTCGTCAGAGATGTGCAGGCTCTCGTAACGCGCGCGGGCCGCCTCGAGCAGCGCCGGGGCCCTCCTCCGCGCGCCCCCGCCGCCGCCCTCGGCCATGGCCCCGGCCGCCGCCCGCGCGCCCGTCCCCCACAGCGCCTCCCAGCCGCACGCGCCGGGCCCCGGGCCCGCGCCGCGGCCCGCTGCCCCCCACCAGCGCAGCCCGCAGCACAGCGCCCGCCGCCCCGCGCCCGGCCGGCCCGCCGTCTTGGCCGCCTCGGGCCTCGCGCCCGGGGAAGCGCCCTCAGAGCTCGGGCGCCGCCGGCTGCGGGCCGCGGCGGGAGGCAGGCTTTGCGACTGGGACCCGGCGCCGCCGATCCTGCCGCCGCTGCGTCGCCTCCGCGCCCGCCGCGTCCCCACGCCCTGCCCGCGGCACCCGGCGCTCGCTCGGCGACCTTCCCCGGCGCGAGCTGCCAGGGGCGGGCCCCGCCTCCTCGCACCTCCAGCCCTCCGGCCAATGGGAAGCCATGCCGGGCGGGGTGGGCGGGCCCTGCGCCGGGGCGCCCCACCCTCCACAGCCCGGCGGGGCGGGGCGAGCGGCCGTGCTGGCAGGGGGGGGAGGGCCGCGGCTGCTTTGGCCAGTCCCCTCGCCTGCGGCGACGTGTCGCCCGGGACCACAATCCACAGGCCCGGTGCTGACCCTTAGGGTGGGGGTGTAGAGGGCTCAGCGAGTTCTCTCTGCCGCCCGAACCCGCGGTCCTGCTCTGACCCTCCGCGCTCAGGTCCCTACCGCAGTGCGCGCCTAGCGCCCGGAGGAACCGGGGGAGCTGTCCTCAGCAGTGGTTCTGAACCAGGCGCTGCCGAAAAGCTCCGGGTAGGCGGGGGCCCCGAGGCTCCTGCGGCCGCCTCCGGAAGGTCTCAGCGGGCTGCGCAGCGTGCTCCTACAAACACAGGGCTCTAATGAGGACCCCGCCTGGCCCGTCCATTTCTGGGGCCAGATGCTTAACTCAGCCTCGCTCCAATACCCCTGTAATTTAAGGGTGGCAGCATCTGGAGTCAGGCGGATAGTCATTCCTCATCGTCTTTGACATTTGACATCTTTTAAACTCAAAATATTTATTACCTACAAAACACGGATTACTCTTAACGCCACTATCTCAACATCTCCTACACTCATATATTTGACAAACTCCTCTATTAAAATACAGCACAAACACCCAGGCTTCAGGTCTCTGATAAACAAGGAAACCAAAAGGTTCCCTCCACCCGTTCCTTGGTCAGGAGGGTGTGACGGTCATCCTGTTGATGGCAGTACATGTGATCAGTCTGTCTCGGTCTTTTTGCTGTCCCCTCCCTCCCACAAAGAGTGCAATATGTCACACGGATGGAAATTGGGCCATAAAGTCACTTTCACTCGGCAGTAAATCCACAGAGATGTGAAGGGCTTACACATGCTACTGGGTACTAACTAAAGAGATGCACAAAACAGAAAGGCATGTTGCTATTTCTAGGCGTTCATAAAGGATGAAGGTGTTGAGCCCATGCTGCCACTGAAGTCATTTCTATTCCATGGTCAGGCAGGCAGCTTCTGCTCTTCACCTCTCCTCCCCAACCCTGGGTCTCCTCCTCCCCACCCCAGGGCCACTGGACAGGCATGAGTCCATGATAACATGACAACTGAAAGACAATATATGAAAAGAAAGGGATTCCCTTAGCATTGCTCACTACATGGATTGGCTGATAAATGAGAAACTGTGTGCAAAACATTTCAACGCTCTTGAAAAATTATGCCACAGATGAATAGAAAAAAAAACTGGTTTCCACGATACACACACACACACACACACACACACACACACACACACTGTGCTAACCAGCCATAGATCTTGAAGAGGGTACATAGAGGTCCTCAGATTAACCACAAAGCATAGATTGAAGGTGAGGTGCAAGGAGCAAAATAAGACTCCATAGTTCAAGTACAAATTCTGCAATTAGGAATTACGTGAGACTCTTGTAATATTTTGTGTTATATCTGCTAAAAATAATTGAATGATCCAGAAGAGGTGGAATCTAGAGGAAAGAATTCCTTCTTCTTTTCTCTCCTCTCCAAGTAGCCCATTGAAAAGTCAGTAGCTAAAGCCAGTGTGTTTTTAAAACAAGGGATTGCTTTGCTACCCATAGGAAGCACAAACTAGAGGGATAACAGTTGCAAGAATGAACACAATCTTCCTTTGTCCCTAATTTACATTTGTATAACGTGGGGCCCTTTGTAGTTCACACTTCAGGCAACACTGGGAAGAGGATTATATGGTCACAAGAGAAACAGACTGGGAAATCAAATGGATACTCTAAAGCTGGTCACATAAAACTTAGGTGATCACTGTAGCTTAGAATCAAGTCTTTTATATGTTACTTTGTTTAGGCAAGTATTTCCAACCAAGAAAAGTAAAAATATTCCAACCAAAAATATTCTAGCAGACAGGTGGCCACTTCTCATTGTGGAAGGAGAAAGGGAGAAGGGAGAAAACAAAACCGAAAACTTTCCATCTGCCTGGCAACCTCCTACTTGTTACCAGTGTGATTCTACACCATTAACTTTTGTAAGTAGCATTATCTGTGAGGGTAATTATAGAACAAATATTACAAGGACATCTTTGGATTTTGAGTCATTTGAAAACATCTTCCAAGAAATATAACTTTGTAATATAATTGAATAAGTTTAGATTAACATTGAGATTTTTATTTATAGTCTTTCCAAAGAGCTCCAGGTAGTAAAAGCAATCCATTTGCATAGTAGATTTCTTAGGTTCTGTTAAACCAGGGGTTCCTGCTTTTATGTAACTGAGGCTAAGAGCCACAGTTCATTTTTTCCAGGGCCTTATCTCATACTATTTTGCACCATTGTTTTGTATATCACTAAGAAAGAAAAATGCTACCATTTAAACTTTATGATATAACGTTTTCTTTTCACTGATAATTTTAATTTAAATGTCTTGCAAAAGCTCTTTGATAATTATTTAGACAGACTTTTGTCATGTACTACTTACTCTAAGGCATACATAAAAATAAAAATATAAGTTAAAAATAATTGGTTAATATCTTCCTAAAACATCACATTCAGAATCTCACTATTCTTATGTACTTTTAAAAACAATCCTCACTGGAGGATACGTTTATTGATTTGAGAGAGAGAAAGAGAGAGGGGGAGAAAGGGGGAGGGAACCATCAATGTGAGAGGGCAACATTGATTGGTTGCCTCCAGGGATGGAATGTTAGCATCTGGGATGAGGCTCCAATCAACAGAGCCACCTGGCCGGGGCCTTATGTACTTTCCTCCTGAGAGTTTTGGACACTGAGGTTTTTCCCCCACAACGTGTTCTTCTGAGCCACCCAGGGCCTCTGTCATGCCCCGTTTCTTATATAAAAGTGTCTGGAGATCATCCAAGTTACTGCCCCTCCATTCTGCATGGCTTGATGCTGGTGGGTTTTGTGTATTTTTACCTTACCCAAGATTTCTATACAACGACTAGGCTTATTTCCTTCTTCAAATGGTCTCCAAAGGCCTGTGGCCTGGAGTGCTAAAGGTGTAGATGAGCAGGCATGCCCTGGGAATGGTAGAGTAGCCACAATGGCACAGGCCCAGGGGATAGTAACCTCTTGGGGGACTTCCACCAGCTGGACACTCACAGTAAGACAATCCCTGATGTTGGAGATGTAAAATGTGGGGGTGGGGAGCAGGCAGGAGCATCTTAGAATCAACTAACTAAGGTATATTTCTTCCTGTCCATACTCTCATAGTCTTTGCTTTTGCAAATGACCAAGCTGCTGCAGGGAACAAAAATCCTAAGGTGGCACCGATAGACCTGGTCAGTCCTGGAGTGCAAGGCCAGGTCAGGCTGGGGACGTCCACATGCTGGTGGCTCACTGTGGATGGAGGAGGCAGAGGTGGAGGCAGGCAGCTGCTGATTCTCCTCATGTTGCCTCCATCACCCAAAAGATAGGGGCTAGAGCCAAGGAGAGATTCCTGGAAATGAAAAGGGGAGGGGAGAAGGAGTTACAGCTGCTGACTCATGGCCGACAGGTGGGGAAGGAGGCCGGAGACAAATGTACAGGGCACAGGGTGGCATTTGGGGTCATATCTGACATAGGGGCCTAAGGACCCACGTTGCTCAAAATGATTTTATCTGGTGAATTTATCTAGGAGCCAACCTAGAGAGGCAGAGAGAGAAGAAATAGGGCGCTGCAGTGGGAAACTCTTAGAAAAAATCCCTTTTGCTGGGTTTGAGATGCTTCAACATTTCCATTGATTGGCTGATTGATTGATTGATTCATTCATTCATGTATTCACTAACTCAACAAACAGGTATTGAGCACCTATTATGTGCCAAGCTCTCTCCTCAGCAATGAGAATACATCAGGAAAAAAACAGCCTGTTTTTGTAGCACTTACATTCAAGTAGAGAGGGGAGAAAAGGTAAATAATCAAATAAGTGTAATATGTCAGTTATTGATAAGGGGTAAAAGTACAGGGTCAGAGATTGTGGGGTGTGTGTGTGTGTGTGTGTGTGTGTGTGTGTGTGTGGTGGGGAGCGGTCACTGTGATGGGAAGACGTTTGAGCAGGTCCTGGAGTAGGTTAAACTGAGTGCATTCATTCAGGAGCAGGGCGGATGGGCACCGGCCCGAGGCAGGCCCGCCCTGAGTGGCTGTGCTCAGCCAGCACCGAGCTGGTGTTGCCGAGGCTGAGAGAGCTGAGTGAAGTGGCAAGAGATGTAATCCAAGGAAAAGCTGAGTGTTAAATCTTGTAAGACCGGCTTTCATTCTGAGTGAAATGGCGAACCACTGGACAGCTTAGAGCAGTGAAGTAACAAGATCTGACTTGCACTTTAAGTGGATCAGCGGAGCTGCTGAGCGGAAAGCAGACTGGAGCGGGGAGCACAGACAGAATCTGGAAGATGAGTTAGGACAGGACTACAGTGGTCTGGGCCACGGAGGAAGGTGTGAGGGCCAGAGTGGTAGTGATGAAGGTGATGAGAGCTAGCAGGATTTAAAATATATTTTACTGGAGAGTTAAATGTGGGCTGTGAGAGGAAGAGAGGAATCAAGAATGACCCCATGGGTTTTTGCTCAGGCTACTGCAAGTGCAG